TCTCATTGTTTTGCGGTGGCAGTTGATAAGCATCAAAACAGAGCAAAGAAACTTCCGATGAATGTTCTTGGTTTCATTATTCTCTCTGTGCAAGTTTTATACAGAAGCAAGAAAACAGAAAAAGAACTATTTATGGAAGACTAAATCTCAGTGCTAATATTACGGAAACAAACAAATATCCAGTTTGCCATATGTTGAGAAACAGCCCTGCATCCTCGCAATAGCAATCCCTTCCGTATCTTCGTAATCTCGTAACTTCCGTAACACCCCCCCTCAAGTTGGAGCGTATAGATTATGGACGCCCAACTTGGAAACGAATGCGAGAAACTCCTTTTGCCCGAGGGCTTTGGTGAATATATCAGCTAACTGAGCTGAGGAAGAGACATGGCGAGTTGATATTGCACCGGATTTGATATGATGTCGGAGAAAGTGGCAATTGACCTCAATATGCTTTGTGCGATCATGAAACACGTCATTTGCCGCAATATGAATCGCAGCTTGGCTATCACAGTTGAGAACCATTGAATCTGCATGTCGTACACCCAGTGACGTTAGAAGAGATTTTAGCCAGATCAACTCACATGTAGTGACAGCCATGGCCCTGTATTCCGCCTCCGCTGATGATAAAGATACTGTCGTTTGTCGTTTGGAACGCCATGAGATGGGTGATGTACCGAGTTGAATTAGATAGCCAGAGAGTGAGCGACGGGAATGAGGATCGCCAGCCCAGTCCGAATCACACCACCCGTATAGGCGGAAATCTGAGTCAGACCGAAGAAGAATCCCTTGTCCGGGGTTGAGCTTGAGATATCGAACAACCCGAATTGCAGCTAGCCAATGATCGTGTCTTGGTTTCTGCATGAATTGAGATAATATGTGGACCGCATAAGTGATATCCGGACGAGTTGCTAAGAGATACAGTAATCGACCGACAAGGCGTCTGTATGTTGCGGGATCTGCCAGCTCTTCACTGTCGGAAATGCTAAGCCGGTGGTGTTGTTCGAGTGGAAACGAAGCTGGTTTTGCAGCCAATAAACCAACCTCAGCAATAAGATCAAGAGTATATTTCCTTTGGCATAATGAAAACCCAGTCGCATTGCGGGCCACCTCAATACCAAGGAAATACTTCAGATTTCCTAGATCTTTCATTTTGAAACATCGGCTCAGATATGTCTTGAAGGTAGACATGGCCTGTGTCGAATTTCCTGTTACTAGCAAGTCGTCAACATACACCAGGACATGGATTCGTGTTGTACCTCTGTGAAAGACGAACAACGAATGATCTGATTCGGTTTGGTCAAAACCGTAATCGAGTAGTGCAGATGTGAGCTTGGCGAACCAACATCGAGGAGCTTGTTTCAAACCGTATAATGATTTGCGGAGCCTGCAGACAAGATTCGGATTAGAAACAGCAAATCCTTGTGGTGGTTTCATGTATACCTCTTCGTGGAGATCACCGTGGAGGAAGGCGTTATGGACGTCCATTTGGTGAACGTCCCATTTTCGCGCGGCAGCAACAGCGAGAAACGTTCTTACAGTGACCATTTTCGCAACCGGGGCAAACGTATCTTCGTAATCAACGCCTTCAGTTTGACGATTACCCAGAATTACAAGACGGGCTTTGTGTCGTTCAACGCTTCCATCAGACTTGAATTTTGTTCGGAATACCCATTTACAACCGATAGCCTTCTTATGCGGAGGCAATGGCTCAAGCGTCCATGTGCGATTCTGTTCGAGTGCGAGCAATTCATCGGACATAGCTTTCTGCCATCGAGCATCCTTGGACGCAGCTGAATATGATTGAGGCTCAAAATCTGCTGTGACTTGAGCGAGAAAAGCTTTATGCGGGGGAAGAATATTGTCATAAGAAATATATTTCTGAATAGGAAATGGCATGCCTGCTGTCACTGAAACAGAGTGAGTAACGAAATCCTTGAGGAACACATTTTGATATTTCTGTCGACGTCCTCTGCCAAGGCTGGATTCTTCACGCTCAACCAGAGTATTAGAGTTCGAAACAGTAGCTGTTTCGAGGGAGGCGGAAGAGGCAGACAGCGGGGAGCTTGCAGTAGGAACATGGGAATTGACAGGTGAGGTTTCCTGTGTCAATTCGACTGCAGGTGCTGATGGTGAAGGATCAGGCATGGAAGTCCGAGGATGTAATATTTCAACATCATCGTCATGACTGAGCAAAGGGGAAGTCTGTGGCGGTGAAGAAGAGGACATAGCACAAGTGTCTGAATATGGAAACGTTGTTTCGAAGAAAACCACGTCTCTGGAAACAAAAATTTGTTTAGTTTCCAGATTGTAAAGTCGCCAACCCTTTTGACCGTAAGGATATCCAACGAAAATACAGCGAGAGCTTCGTGGAGCAAACTTATCTCGTGTTCGGTTTTGAAGATGAGCATAGCACAGGCTGCCGAAGATTCGGAGATGACTGTATGTTGGTGGATGACCGTGAAGAACTTCATACGGAGTTCGATTTTGCAGTACAGAAGAGGGTATGCGGTTGATGATATAAGCGGCTGTCAAAACGCTCTCACCCCAGAAATCGATAGGTAGATGTGCTTGGAATAGAAGAGCTCTCGCAATGTCAAGGATATGCCGATGTTTTCTCTCAACTCGACCGTTTTGTTGCGGGGTTCCAACACACGATGTTTCATGGTGAATTCCCTTTGAAGCAAAAAAGGAATGCATGCTGATAAATTCAGCTCCATTATCAGAGCGTAGCGTCTTGACAGTGGCATCATATTGTCTTTCGACACGAGCAATGAAATCTCTAATCTTTGTTTGAGTTTCATGTTTTCCGGTCATTAAAAAAATCCAGGTGCCTCGTGAGAAATCATCAACAATCGTCAAGAAATACTTTGCGCCGGTAGAATACGGAGTTCGATACGGACCCCAAATATCACAGTGAACTAATTCAAAGATTGCAGATGCTTTATTATTACTCAATGGAAAAGGCTCTCGTGTTTGTTTTGACCTTAAACAAACGTCACATGAATCTGAAGAAGAAGAAGAAAACATCGAAATATCAATTTCTGGAATCTTCGACAGAGCTTTTAACGAGGGATGTCCCAACCTCTTGTGCCATATGTCAATTTGCTGAGAATTCCCTGTTTTAACTGCTGCCGAGAACGCCGCACTTCGATAGTAAAATAAACCTCCACGTTGTTCACCCGCTCCAATCGGCGTCTTGGAAATCCGGTCCTGGAGTATACAAAACGAAGGGGCAAACGTAACAAAGCAGTCAGTGTCATCCATTAGCTGACATATAGATATCAACTGGCAGTGAAGATCGGGAACATAGAGCACGTTCGTTAGACTGAGGTGTGGACTGAGAATCACCGAACCACACTGAGTCGACAGAACCGTTCTATTATCAGGAAGAACCACTGAGCAGGGTGGGATTGAAATCACGTCAACAAGAGAGGAGAAAGTTCCTGTCATATGGTGAGAGCATCCGGTGTCAAGGATCCAGGAGAGAGGCGAGTTCTTACCCGAAATGTTGTTAGCATTGCTGAGTGCAGAGTTTGAGAGGAGAGACATCAAACCGGACCACTGTTCTGGAGTAATTCCTGTGACCAGATTGGTGTCGATATCCCGTGGAGATTGCGCTGTCAAAGGAGCAGAGGCTTGAGTCATATTCGCTTTAGCCACAAAACCACGGGAACCAGATTGAGTAGTGTTTCTGCCGCGTCCTGCACCAGTTCTGTTTCGTGGGCGTTCACCCCACCAATCTGGAAAGCCAATAAGCTGGAAGCAGTTTTCAGCCAAATGCCCTTGTCTGTTGCAGTTGGTGCAGAGAATAGACTTATCTTTGTCATCCATTTTAGGACGAGGTTTGAGAGATGCTCGAACCGAGAATGCAGCTGCTTCAGGTCTTGTTTCAAATGTTTGGGTGATGTGTTTCGCTGCCTCATCTTGGGATACCGTGTTGTATGCTTCTTCGAGTGAGGGAAGAGGGGACCGAGATAGCAAATTTGATCGAACAGTTCCATATTTCGAATCATCGAGACCGAGGAGAAATTCAAACAATCTGTCCTCTCCACGTTCTTTCTCCAAAATAGAACTGATATCACAGGTACAGCCATTGCACTTGCAGTGTTTCAGTCCCCGAAAATTCGCTAAATCGTCCCACAACTTGGTCAGCTTTCCGAAATAAGCTTTGACCGTCATACCTTGTTGTCGACAGTTTGCGAGTTCGCTGCGGATTTGAAGAAGGCGAGGAGCATTCGATCTTCCAAATCTGCGTTGCAGATAGTCCCATAAATCTTGGGCAAATTCCCGATGCACGACATCGGATCGGAGATGAGGTTCCAGAGTATTCTTGATCCAAGAGGTGATGAGAGCGTTGTTCGTATCCCAATCTTCAAAGTCCGGGGATGTTTCTGTCGGTTTTGGTATTGTTCCATTAACAAAACCAAATTTCTTCCGAGATTTCAATGCTTGGCGGATGTTAATCGACCATTCGTCGGGTTGGAAACAGAGTTTCTGGAGCAGGAGCCTGTCGGGCCATCGTCGGGTTCGTTGTCGGTGGTGGAGTTTCAGTCGAATCAGGGTTCGATGCGGAATCGTGGTTTCTAGACATGAGGATTCAATCAAAGGGACACAATTTTCAGATTTCGATTTTGTCGGGCTCTGATACCATGATAAAGCATCAAAACAGAGCAAAGAAATTTCCGATGAATGTTATTGGTTTCATTATTCTCTCTGTGCAAGTTTTATACAGAAGCAAGAAAACAGAAAAAGAACTATTTATGGAAGACTAAATCTCAGTGCTAATATTACGGAAACAAACAAATATCCAGTTTGCCATATGTTGAGAAACAGCCCTGCATCCTCGCAATAGCAATCCCTTCCGTATCTTCGTAATCTCGTAACTTCCGTAACAGCAGTTTTCATGCTTCCTCTTCATTCCGTGTCACCTGCCTACAAAGCCTTACTATAATTAAGAACTTACCCCTGATTGGGGCATTACAAAACCCTTGGGTGAGCAGATGATGGTGTGGCTTCGTCCGACGAGGAACTCACCGGAGGAGAGGTCGCACAAGATGGACAACCCAAAACTGAGGACGTCGATCTCAAGGACCGGCTCATGCGCAGGTTCGGTGGCCGTATCAGCTCCCTGAAACTCGAGTTCTCCAAGAAGAAGAAGAAAGGGAAGCTGCCCAGAGACGCCAGACAAGCTCTCCTCCAGTGGTGGAATCTCCATTACAAGTGGCCATACCCCACTGTAAGTATTTCCATTTTTTTTAATGACAGGGTATTGTTTCACCTTGGGACAGTTTCATGCCATGCGTAATTTGGTTATGGATCTTTTTTCGACATAGGATCGGACGATGTTCTCATTTTTTTTTGACGTACGCAGGAAGCGGATAAGATAGCTCTGGCAGAAGAGACGGGGTTAGACCAAAAACAAATCAACAACTGGTTTATAAACCAGAGGAAACGCCATTGGAAGCCGTCGGAGAACATGCCCTTCGTCATGATGGACGATTCTAATGGAACATTCTCTAACGAGGATTAAACCAGGCACTCAACTCGGTCTCTTCTGAAATTCCATCTAGTGCTGCTTTTTTTTTTTTTTTTTAAAGGATCGTCGTATATTTTTGCGCTGCTCTGCCAAAAAGAAAAAGGAATTGGCATACTGGGCGTCATTGGAAATGAAATCCCCGGGGAAAAAGGAAAATCATACATGCAGGGACCAAATGTAACCCTCTCCATGCGAGGGAATCGTGTTTTGGGTTAAAATCTTCTGTTTGGAACGTTTTATCATATGTAATGTAATAATGAAATTTTTTATAATAGTCCAGGCGCCGTCGTAGACTAATACGGTTGTTGGTTATCTGAATTGCAATCGTATATATATTCCGATCACATCAAATGTTTTGCGAGGGCATCTTCCTTGTGGTGCTTGCACGCGTAGAATATCCATTTCATTCAGCCCTTTGTTTTCTCCTCTCTATTGGGCCTTAAATTGGGCCGTTAGAATCTTCCTATTACCATAAGCATCACGTGTTTAGGCTCTGTTTCTGGAACAAAAGTGGATAATAAATTATGAAAAGACGACAGAGAAGCTGTGGAAGTTTCCACCGCTTTGACCTGAAAATATGACTTTTTTTTTTTTTATGGATCGCATATTTTGAACAAAACTCTGTGAAGAGCCCCAAGTTGCTCTCTGTGTCCTCACAGTCAATAAAAGGAACCGTAATTTGGGAAAATGTAAGGCAACACACATAAATGGTCCCTTTGTGCCACTCTTAATTTTGGAAGGTCCTTTATTTTAAATTATTGTCATATTTCCAGTCTTAAGTTTCTTATATTATCCCTCTTTCCTAAACTATCTTTTCTCATTAAATACCGCATTTATGTTCTTCCAAAGTTAATAAATCCACGTCCGAACCAGCAGTTGAAATTCAGATTCTAATGAAAGGGTAAAATAATGTAGAAAAGCAATCATCATAAATTAATAATTACACATCTGAGTCTTCGTCAACGCCAAATCGAAGTGGTTGCAGCGTTATCTTTTTAACGCTGAAAATTCTTGCCGACTTTATTTGTTTACGGGAAAAAAAAAACTAACCCACTTTAGAACTCGATTTGATAAAGTTTTTATGGCGACGAAATAAAGTTTCTGCTGTGGAAAAAAAAACTTTTTTTTTTGTTGTAAGAAACTCGCGGATCATTAACAAATGTACATAAAAGAAAAAGCGATCAATGTCCTAATCACATTCTCATCTGGGATCCATGAAGCTCTCAGTGATGCTATTCCGAGATGCGGAAGACTGAGACTGATCTTTATGCGGCAAGTAACTTGTCGGAGAGAAAACCCTGCTGCTCTCTGCACTTGCCGTGTTCAGAAATGGCGGCTGTGTCGGCTCTGGAATCTCTTCACGTCCGGTCATCATCTTCACCACTGACGACATGGCCGGTCTCTGATCAAACGCTGCTTGAACACACAGCAGACCGATCTTCATTACCCTCTTCGCTTCTTCCACGTCGAAGTTGTCTCCCATGATTGGATCCACTGCCTCTCTCAGTGTTCTTGTCCCGTACAGACTCCACACCTTTTTTGAGAGTTTCATTCCATGATTCAAGAAAATGGAACTTACGCGGAAAATATCTATCTTGTCATAACAAGAGAGAGAGTTACCATTTGTAGGATCGAGCTCGAGTTTTGGGAAAACGCATTGTTTCGCCTTCCGGATATCACTTCGATCATCAGAACTCCAAAACTGTAAACGTCTGCTTTCTCCGTCAGCTTTCCCCTTACAATGTATTCCGGAGCCATGTATCCTCTGCTTTGCCCATGTCAAAGAATCTACGTGTTAAGGAGAGGACTAAATTTGTTTTTTTTTTTCTTACAAAAACATGAAAAAAAAAGGTCAGGAGACATTACAGTGTACCGGCGACGGCAGTGCTTATGTGACTTTGATCCTCAGGGAACAACCTGGCCAATCCAAAATCCGCAATCTTGGGAGTGAAATCGTAATCAAGAAGGACATTGCTAAGCTTAATATCTCTGTGTATGATTCTCAAATTCGACTCCTCGTGAAGATAAGCCAGTCCCTCTGCTATTTCGAGAATAATTTTGATCCTCTTCTCCCAACTCAATGGCTCGACGTCTTTCCTTACTGAAACCATATGCAGCAGAACCAGTTATTATACTGTCCTACAGCCCTAAACACTAATACATATTATTGGCATTGTGATGTGGACTAGGACTAGAAGAAAAAGGGTTTTGATATGAGAGAAGAACTAACCGAAAAGATAATCGTAAAGGCTTTGATTCCCAACATATTCGTAGACAAGAAGGCTCTCGGGTCCGGTTAAGCTGCAACCCAAAAGCTTCACAAGGTTCTTGTGTTGGATTCGGCTTATCAAATTGACTTCGTTGAAGAAATGATCCACCCACTGTCTTGTGTTGAAGAACAGCCTCTTCACTGCCACTGTCTTTCCATCGGGAAGAATCCCCTGTTTCAGTTTAAAGACAGAGCATCATCTTAACTAGATTCTCCTCTCTGTCCTACAACCTCAATAAACATGGATGCGGATCTTCCTAAGTACTTGGCCAGATAGATATACTAGTCAATATATTCCTTAAGAGTATCAAAATCGAAACTTTCGGATGCAAAAGAATGTAAAAACTCACTTTATAGACAGAGCCAGAGCCTCCTTGTCCGAGCTTATTGGAGTGGCTGAAGTAATTGGTGGCCTTCTCGAGTGTCTCGTAGGAGAAACAGAGACTGGAATTGTTGGCCATCCTGAACAATGACCCCAGTTGCTTCTTCTCTTTATACCAAAGAATGCTTTGTTTAGCAGAAAGAAAGACCAAACAATAAAGAATCAATCTTTGGTCGGTTTCCTTACCTCTTCTTTTTCGGGCAAGTTTCTTTTTCAGAAAGAAAGTAACAGCTGAGGCCACCAGAACAAAAGCCACCACTGAAGATGTCACCGCCAAAGCCACGGCCAGGTGGTTGCGCCCTGCTCCAGTCGAATTTTTTGCATTCCAATTTGAGATGATTCGCTCAATTTTGTAGAGATCATAGAATTGTCAGAAATGAGATCATTACCGTTGTTTCCACCGGAAGAGGAATCTCCAGAGTTGTTGTAGAACTTCTGAGTGGAGAATCTCATGTAACAGCCAGCGTTCAGAGACCGACCTTCTTCTCTAACAAAACAAGAAGCGATTGCGTTTGCGGCTTTACCCAAACAATGTTGGCAACCGCTGCGGTTGAGTGGCTCCCAGCACTGAGCCAACCCGTGAACCGTCACGTTCTGCCTATCCACAAATCCGGCGTAAAAGCCGCCGTTCACCGCCTGAACGCTCATGTTCCTCACCAGCTCCGCCGCGTTTTCACCGAACACCGTCTGGTTCAAACCGGTTACGGTGTTGTTCGCGCAAACCGTCCTGTCTTCTGGGCTTACGGTTTCGTTGTAGAACGGGTAGTCGTCGTACCTGTTTCAAGTACGAAACGATTAAACCACGCACGATTGCGATGTGACCGCTGAAATTATTGGGAAACAAAAACGGAAAAAAGGGATAAACATGCGAATTAAAGGAACCTGTTAATGTCAGGAGAAGAAGAAGAAAGGAAACCTGATATAGCAGCCGTCGGAGAAGACACGCGCGCCGCGAGTGGCGCGCTGGAAGGGCAAGCAACGAGGGACTTGTGTCTTGATCTGGGCGAAACACAAGTCACAGTCTTTCTTGTCCAAATCCTTCAAGCACTCTCCGTACGCGTAAACGGTGTTGTTCCCACCTCCCCTGTTGACGCGCGCGTACCCGTCGGTGGCGACGGGCGGCGAGACGGCGTCCATGGCCGCCAAGAAGTTGTCGATGTAGACATTCCTGTCCTCCGCCGCCGACGTCCTGTTGCTGCATATCAGACCCACCGTCGTCCCTCTCGAATCAGAGATCGTAGGGTTCACCAAAATACCTAGGAGAAGAAGAACAGAGATCGAGGCGACAGGAACGCGGGAACTGAAAATCGGCATGTGGGTTTGGTGAGAATCTGTGGAATCTATGGTCTACTGTTTGGAGAGCATGTATGCTTCGTTTTTCCGTTGTTTTCTCGGCAACCAAACAGACCCAGAGAGAAGCAAGAAGATGTTCGGTTCTCTGGTTGGGGCTTTCGTGAAAAATTCAATCTTGGGACAGACACTGTGAGGATTAAGAGACAGAGAGAGAGATAACGACTGGGTTTCTGTTTCAATTTGGATTCTTGGGTAAGAAGAACCGGAAATGTCAAATCAATTGTCGTGAATAAGAAGGTACTGAAAAGAGGGCGTGGAGAGTCAAAGAAAGAGATGGACCATTCCTGACTCAACGATGAAAACCTCCTGCCAAAAACGACGTCGCTTTTGTGGTGTATTCCGTTGGCGTTGCGTAATCGCTTGTCAGCTGCTTGCCGATCCCTGATATTTGTCGAAAGAAATATTATAAAAAAATTTGGCCATAAACCAATAATTCAACAGACACTATCAACAATTAATTTGACGCAAATATGAAATACTGTATAAATGCAAGTCATCTTATATATCTATAAAAAAAAATAGGGTACAATCCTTAAAAAAAACTCAAACTTCTAAAAAAATATACAAATAAATTTTCAACTTGTAAACTTTTCATTTAAAACCTAATTTATTTTTTTTTAACCAAGATAGTTCTCCATATCTTCGATCCGACTATATTTACCTTAAACACGGTATAAATTTTTGTATATAGACCATTTTTGTCTAGAAATTACATCTTTTCCCATCAGTGTAATCAAACTCATGATTTTAAGGATGATTTTGTCACATCTCAACTACCGCACTACCAACTGTTGGATATTTAAATTCCAAACTTGCAATATGTAACTGAATAAAATCTCGAACTTGCAAACTGTTATCCTAATAACCCGTTGACCGGTTTGACCACAACTTCAGGCGATCGAAGATCCACGTTGACCCGAAAAACTGATGTCAGTGTATCCTCGTAACAAATTCTAAATGATTTTTTACCACATCATCATTTTTTTTGTCGAAATTTAATCCGATTTGAGAGTAAATAGATCCTGTTCCGGAGAAAAAAAACATTTAAAATTGGTTACTTTTTATGGATTTTTTTCCAAAAAAGAAAATATGTACCATAAAACTAACGATCAAAGAGAGTTTACATGAGGCAAATTGCATTTGATTTGGAAAAAAAAAAAAGGAAGTGGATTAATTACATCCACCAATTTTAATATATAGATCAAAGCAACATATTTAGCCTCTTTTATTGAATAGAATTGTTTGTTTGTTTTTTGTGAAAATGACATATTGAGAGTTGTAAAAAAGAAAGAGGGTTTTCTTTAAAATAACGGCTCCCATAGAATTTTTGGTCTTCCCTGTAGAAGACACGTAATTTGGAGTACATGACACATTTAACCTCGTGAATAATAATAGTACATGCCAATCGAGACTAGAGAGATTTTTTTTTTTTGGTCAATATTCAAATCAACATGTAAGCAAGTATGCGATAACACATATATCCTTCCAAAAAGTGTAAAAAAAAATGAGAATAATGGACAGCTCTTTTATTATTTAGATTTGAAAATGTTATTGAAGAGACAATAAAGACAAGTTGTGGGGGTTTGGTTGTAAATAGTGATTCGACAAAGAAGTCGTTGAATGGGACAGCCTCCGGTGAATAAAAAATCTGCAGGGGGCCTTCCCTATTGGTTGACTCGTGACTCGTCCACTCATTCAAAGTCAAAGTCAACTACGATTCTAGCCTCATTGAATCATCTCGTTCGCACATGCTTATGAATGAAATATCAAAATAAGTAATTTGGGTATCATAGTTCTAAAGGAAAAAAAAAAAAAGATTTACATATAAAATTGATTATAAGCAAAGACAAAAGTTAAAATAGAAAATAAATAAAAATTTCAAATCATAATTCCGTCATAATGTCCAACTCCGACGACCGGACGAGGTAGAGATTTTGTTCCGATTCTGTTAAGAATCTCCGACCCAATCGACATTTTCCACGCACCACATATATTAAATCAAATGGGAAGCAGATATTGGGGGAATATATATAGATATTGGCAAATTTGGTTATATATATATATTATAATATTGATCTGCTTGTTTACATTCGAGCTTGTCATAAACTTCTACTGTTATAAATATTTAATATTCGATCAGATCGTGGTATTCTCTAATTGTATTACCGTGTGTATCTACATTTATTAGTATTAAAAGACTCGAGACTATATTATTTGTTTTATAATATGGGGGGGGGGGAGTAGGTATTATAACCGTTGGGTACTAATTGCTTAGGGTGGTTTGTCAATATGGGCCGGAACATATGTATGATAGGTTTTTATAAAAGCCCATTATAGGCCCACGCTCCAAACAGACGTCCCGCCGCGTTTTATAGGTGGGACGAAATTGTCCATTGATTTTTTCTTATAAAAAAAAATTCACATATATTTAGCAAATAATTAGATGATCTCATTACCATTAAAAAACAGATTATCAACATACACTTCATGTAATGTAAACACATAAACCCCTTTTTATGGTAATTTGAAATATCTCCTATCATTGATTGATTGCACGAGCTTACTGTCAGCCCTAACTTAAAACATTGCATATATCACATCATTGTGGGGTTTTCTCCTAAGTGTATTGATTAAAAATCAATCATGCATTAGGCGGAAAAGTAAATGGTGGGAAACACCATTATTGTGATGACAAATCATTAGACAAACTTTTGTCTAAAGTTGATGTGATCAAAGGCTACAAATGCAGAAGCTTTGGTCGTGGTTTCATAATCCAAGCAAGAGAAAATAGCAGAAAGAAGAAAAGAGAGAGTGGGAGAAAAGAGGGAGAGAAAACAGTTTGGTGCAGCTGTGATCAAAGCTTCGATCGGATGGTCATTCCTTGTCCGATCGATCTGGAATTTGGAGGAGAGCTTCTACACTCATTGTTCTAGGTTTTGTCCGGTGGAATTTTGATTCCAACGGTCAGAATTGGAGAAACGGAGTTTCTACCGAAGCTGTTCGTCATTGGAGCTTCAGCAGCACATGTCCGAGTAAGTTGAAGATTCGGATGCTCATCTCTTCTCCGTTTGAGCTGAAATTTGGTATGTTTATTTTACACCCTCTGAGCTTTTGATTTCTACGGAGAAGTTGGTATTTGGTTGCCGGAATCAGAAGTTACGGGGTTAGCTTGCCATCTTGCCTTTCCATACGTGATAATTGGTACCGTTCAAACTTACCATTCTACTAGTATTTGCCTCCATCACTCACACAAGTGCACCGCACAACCAGGGTGCTCTGATACCACTTTGTTAGGGTTTTTACCGTGAATCACAATTCGGTAAATAAGAACCCCTTACTTGTGTGAGCGCGTTAGGATGACAATATCTAGTTAGAACAGGTGTACTGAGAAGCCATAAACTCTGAACCTCATCTTCAAAAGTGATCCCCATATCAGACAACTGGTTCAACAGACCTTGAAACACGTTCAGGTGATCTGTCACCGGACTGCCTTCGGCGTACTTTAAATCGACCAACTTCTTGATGAAGTACAGCTTGCGATTTCCAGTGTTTCGAGCGTACAACTGCTCCAGCTTACTCCACAAAGACCGAGCATTAGTTTCACCAGCCACATGATTCAGAACGTTATCATCCACCCACTGTCGTATCAAGGCACAAACTTGTCGATGTAGCAATGTCCATTGCTCATCAGTTTTGCCCTCCGGTTTTTCCTCAACGAACAACGGTAGGTGGCACTCTTTCACGTATAGCAGATCCTCCATCTTGCCTTTCCATACGTGATAATTGGTACCGTTCAAACTTACCATTCTACTAGTATTTGCCTCCATCACTCACACAAGTGCACCGCACAACCAGGGTGCTCTGATACCACTTTGTTAGGGTTTTTACCGTGAATCACAATTCGGTAAATAAGAACCCCTTACTTGTGTGAGCGCGTTAGGATGAAAATATCTAGTTAGAACAGAAATTTAAATGGCATCATATTTTGTCACATTCATCGATGATCATTCAAGGAAATTGTGGGCATATATGATGAGGACTAAGGATCAAGTTCTGGGCATTTTCAAGCAGTTTCAAGTCTTGGTGGAAAGACAGACTGGAAAGAAGTTGAAGTGTATCCGGAGCGACAATGGAGGTGAATACTCCGGACCGTTTGATGCATATTGTCGTGAACAAGGCATTAGACATGAGAAGACGCCGCCGAAGACACCACAGTTGAATGGGTTGGCAGAGAGGATGAACAGGACGATCATGGAGAGAGTTCGCTGTTTGATTTCTCAATCAGGCCTGCCGAATTCCTTTTGGGGAGAAGCTTTGAACACCGTGGTTCATGTATTGAACCTATCACCTAGTGCTCCGTTACATGGTGATGTTCCAGAGAAGGTCTGGACTGGTAAGGATGTTTCTTACCGTCATTTGAAGGTTTTTGGGTGTAAAGCGTTTGTTCATATTCCCAAGGATGAGAGGTCGAAGCTGGATGCGAAGTCAAGACAGTGCGTGTTCATCGGATATGGTCTGGATGAAATGGGATACAGATTCTATGATCCAGTTGAGAAGAAACTCGTCAGAAGCAGAGACGCTGTGTTCATGGAGGATCAAACTATTCGGGATATTCAGAAGTGCAAAAATCCAACTCAGAATAGCAGTGGTTTGATCGACTCAGAGATGATTCCTCGGACGACAGTTGAGGATTCTACTGAAGGTGAGGTTCAAGGTGATACACCTGGTACAGATGCTCCCGTACAAATTGATGATGGTATTGGTGAAGACCATCGGGTTGAGTCGTCAACTACCGAAGACTCGCCGATGTTGAGAAGGTCTGAGAGAGCTCGGAGACCATCAACGAAGTATAACCCTAGTGAGTATGTATTACTTACTGAAGAGGGAGAACCAGAGAATTTTGATGAGGCTCTCGGAGATGAACACAAGGACGAATGGATGAAGGCCATGAATGACGAGATGGATTCTTTGTACAAGAATCAAACATTGAAGTTGGTGAAGCTACAAGAGGGTAAACGAGCATTGCTTAACAAATGGGTGTTCAGGGTTAAGCATGAAGAGCACAGTCTGCATCCGCG